GACTACTGGCGGTGCAGCGTGGAGATGCAGAAGAAGCTGCTGCCCGCCCTGCGCGAGGCCATCACGGAGTTTTATGGCTCCGACCCTCAGGAATCCCCCGATTTCGGCCGCATCGTGGGGGAGAAGCGGTTCTATCACATGCAGAGACTGCTGCACAGTGGACACGTGGAAATCGGAGGGGAGACGGACGAGTACGACTGCTACATCGGTGAGGGCTTGAGCTTCGTGTAAGTCTTCATCCTTGCACGGAGCGGACTTGGGTTTTGGAGAGGGTCTCGCAAATGGAGGGAAGGTTCTAGATGGAAGTGGCATTTTGGGAAAGTTTACACAGGGTTTGGGGAGCTTGGCAAGGCAGCCAATCTTCTGGGAGGGGGAATGGGTTTCGGGGAAAAGACCAAGGCATCATCTCCAGCCTCTGCGGACGGCTGATGCCTTTGGGTTTCTCTCTCCGCAGCTCCCAGCGTGCTGGTGGACGTGCTGCCCTCCGATCCTATCATGCAGGAGGAGATCTTCGGGCCCATCTTGCCCATCGTCCACGTGGCCAACGTGGACGAAGCCATTGAGTTCATCAACAGCCGCGAGCGGCCGCTGGTTGTGTATGCCTTCTCCTCCAACGACAAGGTAGAGCCTGCAGGCTGGGTGAAGCCAGGGATACGCTTGTCCTGTGCTCCTTGGCAGGAATATTCAGCCGTGTTCACGCTCCAAAGACTCTTTAGAGCAGACAGCCCTGTCTGGGGGGAGAAGGATTGCAGCTGGAGGTGTGGGAAGAGTGCGAGACCCCCGTCCACCTCCTCTGCTTCCCCCCCTCTCCCAGGTGGTGAACCAGGTGCTGGAGAGGACGAGCAGCGGCGGCTTCTGCGGCAACGACACCCTGATGCACGTGACGTTGACCTCGCTGCCCTTCGGCGGGATCGGTAGGTCCCAATCCCCCCAACCTTTGATGCTCCGCAGGCTGGAGCCCCTCTGCCCTGGGGACAGGCTGGGGGAGTTGGGGGGTTCAGCCTGGAGAAGGGAAGCTCCGGGGAGACCTCAGAGCCCCTTCCAGTGCCTGAGGGGCTACAAGAAAGCTGGGGGGGGGAATTTTTTACAAGGGCAGCTGGAAAACCAGCTCCTCTTCTCCACCTGAGACTCAGCTGAGAGCTGCCCGCTCACCTTCCTTCGTGCTGGGAACAAACAGCAAAATCCAGGCTGAGAGGGTCCCTGGGAGCTTTCCCTCCTGCCAGCCATGAGCCTGGTGGCTTAGTCTTCCTCCTCCAAACATCCCTCCAGCTCCGTTCCGGTGTCCAACCAGGCCACCTCCATGGTCCTCTTTAAGTCACTTCCTGGGGAAGCCTGGCCATGGCCGGTGCTCCCAGCTGTTAGAAAACAGCTGGATGAAAACATCGTGCCATCCGCCTCCGTGCCACCCTTGAGAGGGGACCTAGGAGCCTAATTTTGGCCTCTTTGTCCCAAACGGTGGGTGGGCGATGGCCAGAGCCCGCCACCCACCGGGGACCTCGTGCTGTGCCTTGCAGGGAACAGCGGTTTGGGGACGTACCACGGCAAGTTCACCTTCGACACCTTCACCCACCGCCGCCGCTGCGTGCACCGCAGCATGGGCCGGGAGGCCCTCAACGCCCTGCGCTACCCACCCTACAACCAGCAGAAGCTGGGGATCGTTCGGGCCACCTCCGAGGTGAAGCGCAAGGGAGCCTGCACCCTGCTCTGAGGGTGCCCCCGCCATGGTGTCTCCCACCGCCCGTCGCGGTGGTCTCGACGGTTACACGCAATGAAAGGTGCCTCCGTGCAGCTGGTGGTCTCCCATGTGCTTCCTGCCCCTGGGAAGGGCCGGTGGGGTGCTCCGGGGTGGTGCCCATGCCCCCCACCTTGGCGACTCTCCCCCAAGGTCCTCACCAATGCTCTCCTCCCAGATCTTTGAGCTGGGATGATCCCAGTTTCCTCTGCCCCTTGCCCTGCAATCCGCCCTCCCTTATCTCGCACGGGCTGGCAATCGCAGCGCACGGAGACCTTGGAGCGAGCGCAGGCGGCTGAGCCCAGAGCGGAGGGACAGGTAAGGTGCCAGTGGGGATGGCAGGTCTTCCTCTGCAGCGTTTTGGGGTGTGCTGTCCTCTGGTCCCCCTCTCTGGTTGCCTTGGCTCCATCCTGGTGGGTTTCTGGGCTCCGTTCCTCCATCCCAGCTGCTCCCGCCCTCCTCCGGCCCCTTCCTCCGGCCCCTTTACCCGCACCCTGTGCTTGGGGAAACCAAGTCAAACCCAGCCCACTGCTTCTCAGGAACAAAACCCCATTGGATATGTCCCCCCAGTGTGGTCCCTGGGGAGCAGAGGGATGCACTGGATCCCCCAGTCTGGGGGGCTGGATGTGCTGGGGAAGGGGGCCCCCAGTCCCTGCCGGGTCAGCTCCACTCGCTGCGGGAGCAGAAGGGAACGGGGTGGCTTTGTCCGTCGGATGGTCATCTGCGTCACCCAGCCCACACGCCGGGATTTTATCCTGTGGGCAGGTCGGGATCCCTCATCTGACCCAAGGGAGGGGCTATTTCCTTATCAGCAGGGTGATGCTGAGACCCCCCTCTCGGGAGGAGTCCCCCCACGGGGCTGTGAGCTGCCCGTGGAGTACGGCACAGCGCAGCTGGAGGCTCCGGATCACCATCCGGCTGTGATGACCTCCTCTGTGTCCCCAGCCCCTTTTTTCCGGCCGTGATGACCTCCTCTGTGTCTCCAGACCCCCCCTGGAGTGCTCCGAGCTGCCGGTGGACGTGCAGCAGGATGACCCCATCGTGCAGGAGGGGATCTGGAGGGCCCATCGTCGCTGTTCTCGCAGCGGCCAGCGTGGACGATGCCATCACCCCCATCACTGCCGAGGAGTGGCTCCTGGGCCTCAGCACCACCTTCCCCTGCAAGGTGAGGGGCTGGGCCGCCCCCCCCCCCACCCCTGCCGAGGAGTGGCTCCTGGGCCTCAGCACCCCCTCCCCCTGCAAGGTGAGGAGCTGGGCCGGGAGCAGCATCCCCGTCAGGCTGGGTCACATCCTGCTGCGTGGGTCTGGATAGCCACAGGCACCCTCCTCCATCAGGGCTGCTCCTTTGGCCTCATCCCTGGTCATCGCAGAGAGCGTCCCCAAGCCCTGTGTCCCGGTGTACCCCCGGCAGCCAGGAGAAGGCAGACAAGGGGTGCCCGGTGGGTGCTCAGCACCCTCCTGTCCTCACCCCCCGGGTGATGAACCGCGTGCTGGAGTAGATGAGCAGCGGCAGCTTCTGCACCAACACCCTGCACAGGCCTTCGGTGGCATCAGTAGGTGCATCCCCAGGAACAGGGTGCTGTGGGACACCCCTGCCCGCTGCACCCAGCGCTGGGCCCTGCCTGCTCCCAAGGGAATCACAGAACAGTTTGGGTTG